AACATACATGTAGTTGATTTTTTGTTTTTCTTAACTTTAGACATCATTATTTAAATCTGTAATCCAATAATTTTGTGTCTCCTTGTTCTTTTTTATATAAGAAAGTGACAGGAATTAATATTACTGGCAACTTATTTTGCCAATCTCTTTCCTATAGTAATATACTACTTCTTAAAACTAAATCACTTCTGTTGTTATGCCACTGTTTTTGATTTGCTTCATAAAAGATGACATTTTAGTAGTTGTCATGCATTTTGTTGAAGACCATCCAGCTATGTTTTCCATACCCGAATAAGGAATGAATGATTGTGATGCAATGTACTTTGGTGGACATATAGAAGGGTATGATGCTTTAAATTTAAATGAAAATATTCATTTAAGGATTTTTATTTATATGTATGTTTTCTGTAAGTAGTAATAAAATAATACTAATTAAGAATATTCAATACTGTATTAAAAGCATTCCTCTTATTTTGTTAATTATACAATAAATTTATTCCACTCTTGATAATTTTAGAAGTTTGGAGATAGTGAGTTCTGATGAGAGTCTTTGATTCTCAGTGAGAGTCATCGACCCTTAGTTAACACTGCCAGCCTGAACTAATCACATCTTCAGGTACATCTGTCTTCTCAAATAAACATTCTCAGGATGCATCAGCAAGAAGTGGTATGTCGGGATAGAAAAATATGGACGTTAAAATTTGGAGGACATGTAGCCTATCTTATTGTTTCCCTTGGTGAACTCCTCAGTGTCTTGGAGCCCAGATTGGTTTCCCAGCATACACAAAAGATAATTGAACTGACTTGTGAAGATCCTATAACTAGTTAATGCTGTATGTAGAGTGTTTTGACCATCATAGGCACTGAATGAACATAGTTGCCCTTCGCTGTGCTGTGAAGCAGAGGATTTCATAGTGTAGCAGACCTGCAGGACCACATAAGAACTCATTAGAATAATGGACATTCTCAGATCCCAGCCCAGACTCCTGAATCAGAAACTGCTAGGGATGGCATCCTGAAATCTGTGTTTGAACAAACACTCAGGCAGTCTGATACACACTAAAGTGTGGGAAGGATTGCAGGATACAAATTTTCTAAGGACTTAACAAAGGCTATTTTTGCCCCAAAGCTAGGAATTTTGCACAATGCTTGTTATTTGATAGACAAATATGTGTGGCTGTGAAAACAGATATATCTGAGTGATACATTTACATAAGCCTGTATTTTACCTCTGATGATACATGGAATTTAGTTTGCTCTGTGGTATTTATACACTTTCTGTTTCAGTAATTTTATTCTTTTTTTAAAAAAAATTATTTGTTTTGAGATAGGATCTCTCTGTAACCCCAGCTGGCCTGGAATTCACTATGGAGACCAGTCTGGCCTCGAACTCACAGAGCTCCATCTGCCTCTGCCTCTTGAGTGCTGGGATCAAAGGTATGCACACCATTTCCGGCAAAGTGCTGTTGTTGCTATTATTATTATTATTATTATTATTATTATTATTATTATTATCTTAATGAATTATTATTATTATTGGTCTTTTTGAGACATAGTCTCCCTGAAGCCCTAGCTGGCCTAGAACTCACCATGTAGTCCAGGCTAGCCTTGATCTCACAGAGATCCACCTGCGTCTGCCTCCCAAGTGCTGGGATTATCGGCAGGCACCACCATGCCTGGCTATTTATTTTTGTTGTATGTTTGAGTGTTATTTTATGCATGTATGTAAGTACACCCTTATCATTCAGAGCCCTCAGAGGACAGAAGAGGGTGCCAGATCCTCTGGAACTGTAGTTATAGATGGTTGTTTGCTGCCATGTGAGTGCTGGGAATCAAATCTGAGTCCTCTGTAAAAGTAGCCAGTGCTCTTAACCACTGACCCTCCTTTCCAGCCCTGTTTTGGTAATTTTGATTCATGGAAAACATGTTTAACTGGGTGTTGTGGCACAGGATAATAATCCCAGCACTTGGGAGGCCAAGGGAGGAAGGGTACAAGTTCAAGATCAAACTAGGCTACATGTTCAAACCCCTCCCTGTCTCAGAAAAACCAAAATAGGGGAGGGAAAGAAGAGGCATGATTATGTGGAAAAGAGAAAGTGACTACTGTTTTCTGTCTTTAGAATATGTCCATCTCTTAGTTCTGTTTTTAGACTTGTGTGCACATTTGTGCAGATGTATGCAAGTGCCCATGGAGACCAGAAGAGTCCATCAGATCCCTTCAACCTGGAATTACAAGCATTTGTGAGCTGCGGGATGTAGGTGCTGGCAACCTGCAGGAGCAGCAAGTGCTCTTAACTGCTGAGCCATCTCCTTAGCCCCAAGCTCTTAAGTTTTTTTTAAGCTAATCATTTTTATCATATTCTTTTCTCTTTTTTAATCTTTTCTTTATTCTTTGGCAGTATTATACATATAAACAATATTCATGTATCCACTCCAATTTTCCCATCACTCCCCAGACACCCAAACACTTCCCATTCCTACTTTCATCTCCTTTCTCTCTCTCTCTTTCTCTCTCTCTTTCTTGTTTATTCATTTATTTTTGTAATTCACAGAGTCCAATTAATGCTGTCTACTGAAATACCGACTGATCTTGTTGGCTTGATGTTGTACAGGCAGCTGTTCATGAACATAATGCCCATTTCATGTCCAGAAGAATTTTACAGCACTCTTCCCTATCCTCTGGCTCTTAAATTCTATCTTCCCTATCTTCAGTGATATTACCTGAACTTTCTGGGGTTGATACTGATGTCCCACTTAGGGCTGAGCACTTTGACCAGTTGTAAATCCGGTGCCCACAGAAACATTGCCTTCTTTTCTGCCTCTTAATCATATAGAAGCGCCATGATGCTAAAAATGATAGGAATTTAATGTCCATGGTAACAATGTGCTGAATTCTAGTTATGTTTTTAACCAGTAGGCATCAGATTCCTCTTAGGAGAATTACATTGAATTGTTCTTCCTTCCAAAACCCATTATCTTAGTCAAATCATGAGAAAAGGATCAGATTCCAAGAGAGGATCACCCCACAAAGTTCTGGATAGTGCCCTTCCAAATTGTCAAGGTCATCACGAGCACAGAAAGTCAAACCGCCACACCCCAGCAGACCTAGGGGGATTATAAGTTAATTTAATGTGGTGTCCTGGATGGGATCCTAGAACAGCAGAAGGACATTAGGTAGAAGCCTTGGAAAATAACCAAACTTTGGCAAATTATCAGTGTTCACTAACTGTAACAAATGGAGCATACTAATGTTAGTAACAAGACAAACAGGACACAACTGGGAGCTCTATACAATCTCAATTTTTCTGTAAATCTAAACTTTAAAAACTAAAGACTAAAAGTGCATTGTTAGAGGGAATTTTTAAATAAAGCATTTAAGTAAGCCAATGGAATGACATTAGTACAGGATGTACCTATAGCTTACAGATTTTAATGGCAGCTGCATATAAATGTGATAGGACATAAAACATTCTTGTGCTTCAACACCTTTTATTTTTAGCTGAAGAAACAATATGTCTTGATTCTGACTGTACTAGTATAACTACCCATGCTATAGCTTTCCACATTCACTGAGAATAATGATACTTGCTTTCTGTGTTATTTCAGTAATGCTAAATATGTGAAGCAAAAATATGAATCACTAGTTTACATATTAAAAGCCAGGGGAAAAAGGGTGTGGTGGTTCATATCTGTAATCCCAGCACTCAGGAGGTAGAGAGAGGAAGATTGTTAAATTTGGGGGCAACTCAGGGCTACATAATGAGTTCCAAGCCACCCTGCACTAGTGTGAGAACCTAGCTCAGGTTTTTTTTGGTTTTGGTTTTTGGATTTTTTGCTAAACAAGCCAAAAAAAAAAAATTAAAGCTGGAGCTGGAGAGATGGTTCAATGGTTAAAGGTGCTTACTGCTTTTGCTGAGGACCCAGGTTCTGTTCCCAGCACCCACATCAAGCAGCTCACAACCACCTGTAACTCCAGCTCCAAAGGATCCAGTGTCCTCTTCTGGATTCCAATGGCACCTGCACTCAGTGCACAGGCACATATACACATAATGAAAAATAAAATCTTTAATTAAAAACATTTTTATTTCTGTTACCTTTGGCTTATCAGATAAAATTAGAACAGGTCGGGTATTCACCTTGAATTGCAAACTATAATGAGTGAATTTAAGAGTAGTATTGGGGCTGGAGAAATGGCTCAGCAGTTAAGAACACTTGCTTTTCTTCCAGAAGACCCAGGTTCGATTCCCAGTACCCACATGGCAGCTAACAACTGTTAACTCCAGTTCCAGGAGACCCAAAGCCCTCTTCTGGCCTCCCCAGTCTTTGCACAAAATGGGTGCACTTACATACATGTAGGCAATATACTCATACACATAAAATAAAAATAATAAAATATTTTTTTTTAAAGGAGTGATATAGGGCCGGGCATGGTGGCACATGCCTTTAATCCCAGCACTTGGGAGGCAGAGGCAAGTGGATCTTTGAGTTCAAGGCCAGCCTGGTCTACATAGTTCCAGGACAGCTGGGGCTACAGGGAGACCCTGTCTCAAAAAGACCAAAAAAAAGGAGTGACATAATTTGAACAAATAATACTTTCCTAAATCTTTTAAAAAGAAAATGAAAGTTTATTTTTTGTTTTGTTTGGGGGAGGTTGGGGGGGCCTTCAGGGGATTCTAGGTTGTGTTAAGTTGACAAAACTAAGCATCAAAATCCACCATGTCAACTTGACACATAAACAGCACCTTTTTGTTGCTGTTTGTTTTTGAGGCAGGGTCTCCCTGTAGACCCAGCTGGCCTGAAAGTCACTATGTAGACCAGGCTAGCCTCAGTCTCACAGTCATCCACCTGTCTCTGCCTCCTGAGTGCAGGGACTAACCGTGCATCCCACCACACTTAGCACATCACTTCTTAAATATTTATGTGTATAAGTGTTTTGCCTACATGTATGTATGTGCACTGCATGTGTGCCTGGTGCCTGCAGAGGCCAGAAGAAGGCACTGGATCCTCTGGAACTGGAATTACCAGTTTGTGAGCCACCATGTTGGTCCTACGAACCAAACCTCTGCAAGAACAGCCAGTGTTCTTAACTGCTGAGCTATCTCTCCATCCCAATAAACACATTTTTTTATTTAATGTGTATGAATGTTTTGCCTGCATATATGTAAGTTCACACGTGTTATGCAATGTCCAGAGTCCAGAAGAGGGTGACCCCTGAAGCTATTGTTACCGACAGTTGTTAGCTGCCATGTGGGTTCTGGGAACTGAACCTAGGTCCTCTGCTCAGCAGCCATTGAACATCTCTCCAGCCCAAACACATCATTTTAAAGCCATAACCTCCCACTCCTTGTCCCCCAAGCCTTATTTTTATCTCATAAAATACAGTCTAACTCTAAAAGTCCCCAAAGTCTTAGCAACATACTCTGTTCTAAGGCCAAAAATGTCAAAAGTATTTGGGAGCTTGTATCTAATCC